GCACCAGCGAGAGGCCAGGGGCCCGGCTCCCAGCAGGAATTTCCATCCCTCCCCAGCGAAATATCTGCTGGTGGCACGGAGGAATGGCTCTAGCCCAGAGTGTGGTTTTGGTTTAGCAGTTCCAGCGGCATCCTGTAATCATTTACAGCCCTTGGAATGTATGGGTGAAATAGGAGAGATTTATCTGTTCATAGTTGTGATATGTAGACAATGGGTGTTCCTAATGAGGAACATCTGCTTTTGTGTTTTCCCAGAAAACATTATTCCACTATGAAAATGATACTCCCATCCTTTTCAGCAACACCGCAAAGAAAATATGGGCCTTTTCCTTTCTTTTATTTGCTTTTCTTTGGGTCAATCTAATTTCCCAGGGACACTTTTTCTGTGGCATCTTTTTACTGACTGCGCTGCAATTTACGGTGGGTTTGTTCTTTAACACGTGAGGTACTGTGCTGGAGGAACGGCCCCGAAATGCCAGCAGATACTCAAATGTGTACAGTAATAAAAGCCTCCCTGCTCAGCCGTGCTCCGTGAGAAACATCCAGGCGACGTAAATAAAAATTCCCACTGAATTAAAAGGTCGCGGAGGCTCCTGACACCAAAAACCGCTTCCAAGGCCTCGGCTTTGGCTTTTACATTTCCAGCCCACTGCAGGATTCAAACATGGAGTTACACAAGTTTGTTTAAATTATCAGCACTGCTAATAAATTATTACTCCTGAAGTGCATATGGTTTTTTTTTCCTTCTGTTTTTTGGGTTTTTTTAATCCCAGTGCATAAACAATTCTGACTATCACGGAGTTTCCTAGTGTAGGCTGGAGGAAATGGGTGGCCATAGATCTCAATTCAGGATTGAATTATTGGTTCATATCCTGAGGACAAATATGCCTTATCTGGTCAAAAGCTGCTAAATGTATCCAAAGGACAAAAGGATCTAGCGAAGCATATTGGATATAATTCTTTTTTTTTTTTTAAGCCAACTACCCAAGCATCTCCACTTCCTATGGGAAACTGTAAATTGACCCCCAAATGTGCCGGGGAAAGGTTGTTCCGTGATGCTCAAGAGGGAAATGCAAGCCTGAAATCCAACCCTGACAACAAATTTAGGCACCAGACTCCGAGCACATGGGTCGAGCGAACGTAAATATCGGGGATTTCAAATGCACCTCGGTGCTTCCAGAGGGCTGGAACCCCTCCTCCAGAGCTTCCTCCCGGCCACGCTTCCCTCCTAGGCTTGCTGCAATTTGCTGGGAGCAAACATCACATCCCAGAGTCCTCCAAAAACCCGGCTGGAGAGGCCACTCCGGCCTCCGCCGGGCTCCAGATTCTCTGCCATGAGAAGTGACAACTCTCTTTAGGAGGCTAAAATCCATGCCAGCCCCATAAAGCCCAAATCTTGAAAATTCCTAATGCAGAAGGTGATTAACATTGCCATAAAATTGTCCTATCTTTAAATTTAGAAGCACAGCAGATTTTTCATCAATAATTAAGATCGCTAAAGCATTTATGCTAGGCATAAATGGAGTTTCAATCTTCCTTATTCAAATAAACATGATAAACCCATTAACCAAATGTTTTCTGATTTTTTTTATCTCTTCTCATGCTTCTGGAATATCAAATGATCCCACAGTTCTGATAGTTTGGGGGAGGTATAAAAGCACTGGTGTTGGGGAGCTTGGCTCAGTTTTGCCAGGATAACCCTTCACACGGCTGACGCAAATTATCTCACAGCAACTCCAGGATGTTATTATGGAAATATCATCAGAATCCCTAAAAAGGTGATGTTCTGCCACGTTCTGGCACGTGCAAGGACCACAAACAAAAACTCCTCGTGCATTTTGCAGTGGACACTCCAGAGGCATGAAAGGCTCCACAGCTCTGAATCAGAGTCCGACCAAGCACAGAAAAGCAAAATATTATTCTAATTTTCATTCCTGGTTAATTTTCCTCGTGTTCTGCTGCAGTCACACTTTAATGCAATTCACCATTTACATCTGCAAAAGTCACACATCTCTCCAAAAAGAACTCTGCACAATGAACATGCCCGTAATCCAATAATAAAAGCTGTAACATGCTGCCTTGCATTTACTACGCCGCCAAGATTCCTCCACTTCCAACTATTTTTTAGCCAATAAAGCAGAAATAAATCCAGCTCGTGAGGCAACAACCCAGCGCGATATGATTTCCATAGCTAAAACACTAAAGACAAATATAATTATATTGATTTTTTTGTACTTGGACTTCTATAAAGTGGTGAACTTGTTCTCAATTGCCTGACACAATCCCAGAGTGATGGCAACAACTGGTCAGCCCTATTTGATTACTAATAAGAGAGATGTCCCTTCTGTCAGATACCTCACATTCCCCACTAAGCAAACAGCTATTTCAGCTAGTTAAACATTAGCATTGCTCTCCACTGGTGGTGCATATTTCTTTAGGCTTAACTCAGGGAGTTTTCCAGGTTTAATTTTTCAGGCACTGGACAGCAAAGTTCATGATCAAAAGATAACTTTGTCCTGCGAGCTACTGAAACACAAGCCTTCTTCAAACCAGCCTAACCCTCTTCTTCACAAAACCGGTGTCGGGTGAACACTTCTCCATTTATTGCTCCAAGGAACCCATTTCTGCAGCCTGGCTCAATCCAAAATCGCCTCTTGCTGCTACCGCACCATCCGCACAAAAACCCGGCTTTTCCGCTGCCCAAAACATCGCCCTTGCCACCAAAATCATTCCAAACCAGCTTTACCTTGCTCTGGCCGCAAATCTTTCTGCAAATGGGTTCTTTTGGAAATAAGGCCAGCGAGAAACCAGACAAGAGGCAGAGTGAAGGATGCACAGAGTTCATCTGGGTATGTAAATTAACGTTGGGCTACGCAACCAGCATGTGTAATTAGTTTCAATTATAACAACTTTGGTTTATTAGTTACATATTTGCTATTTGACATAAAATGACAGCCACAATTGGAAAAAAATTGGGACACATCTCACAACTAATTGATAGCAGATTAAATTCATTCTAGCACAGGGCAAACCGTTCCTCCACCGTACCACCCAAGCCTCAGCTGAGGGCAAGGCGAACGACAAAAAAATAATGTAAATAAGAAATACTTGTTAACAAATTAGCAAAAAAAGCACTTTGTGACACATCCCTCGGTTGAAAGCCAAAAACTCTCTAGGCATAAAGTGCTCCTCACAGTGAGAGCAGTGGCAGATGAAACCGCTTCCCCTGACAACTCGCAAGCAATTACCGAATCCCCACAGAGCGAGCCACCAGGTTTCCAAGTCAACCCACCTGTGCACGATAACACGAGAGGACAACAAATGGTGC